CCTCACCTCCCATCCTCACCTCCCATCCTCACCTCCCATCCTCACCTCCCAGCCCATGTAACTCGTCCACTCTCTGACTGCAGGAGGCAGAGCTGCCTGAGCCTTTTTTAGGGCTTCAGCACCTTCTGCACCGCTGCCCAGCAGCCCCTGATCGTAGGCCACGTACACAGCAGCTCCGGCCAGGCTTCCTTTGATGACAAACCTGAAGGAACCAAAAGCAGCCACAGTTCAGTTTGCATCAGGAGTGACACCGCATCTCTCTCGGGCAGATAAGAGGCAGAGGGGTCTCCGTCCCTGGAGGCGTTTGAGAGCAGATGGCTGCTGCTCTGCCATCCCTTCCCCTACACCAAACATCCCTCATCTGTCAGAAATCTGCTCGCACTTTGTCTGCCTCTCTGAAAACGGAGAAGCACCGCAACTCTGAGCAGAGAACGGCCGACGCAGAAAAGCAACGGAAGGACTCAGCAGTGGGGACACAGCACAGAACGGAGCCCTCAGACCCCGCGGCCCTCCGTGCCGCACCTCCGCGATTCCGAGCTCCTCCAGGGACGGCGACCCCGCCAACGCCTCACCGCCGCAATGCCATCGTTCTCACCGCCCGGATGAATGGGACCCACAGCAGCAGCGACCGAAGCCCGGCCAACACCGGGCTGCCCCAGCAGCGCAGCTTTACGGCAGCTGAGCTCACCCGCCCGGAGCCATGCGCCCCGCTCGCCCCCAGTTCTCACTAGCAGCCGCCCGGAGGGGCCGCACGCTGAGGGCACCGCGCCGGGCCGGCTCTCCCGCCTCGCTCCGCGCCCCGGGCCGAGCGGAGCGAAAGGCAGAACCGCGGAGCGGGCAGCGCCGGGCCCAACCGCAGCTCGGCGGTCCCGGAGGGAGGCGGCTCCCGCGGCACTGACCTGAGCACGGGCAACAAGCGGGCGGCCATGGCGGCACCAAGGGCAGCGCGAGGGCCCGCGCCGCGAGGGCCGCCGGGAGCGTCTCACGTGACCGGAAGAGAGGAGTACGCTTCCGTCTCGGCCGTCGCCATGGTGGCGAAGTCACGTGAGCGGGAGGCTGCGCCCGCCGCCATTTGGGGGTGAGGGTTGGGGCTGGGGGCGGTCCGGCGCTCGGCGCGGTGGGTGCGGGGCTGATCTCGGTTCTCCCCGCTGTTTCATCGCGCTGCGGTGCCTGCGTCAACCCGGAGCGCCGTTCGCTGTGGTGAACACCTCAGCTGTGAGGTTGATGCTGAGTTAACGAGGCCTTCGTTCGGCGCGGGTCGGGCTGCTTTTCCGCAGGCTGGGCGGGGGGAGCAGCGCAGCCCCGCCCCGTGCCGTTATTTCCTCCCTTCGGACGCCGTTATCGCGGCTCCCGGCCTTCGGGGCGGTGCCGGTGTTGGTGGCTGCGACGCCCGCAAAGCGGGGATTTCCCAAACCCAAAGGCAGCGGGATCGGGTGGCGCCAATGTGCGCCGTGCCGTCTGGAGGCGGTGCCCGGCTCCCCGCTGCGTACCGGGCAGAGGTTGGCACAGCCTCAGTGGTTGAACCTCCGCTGTGGAGTCCCTGCGCTCCCAGCCCTCTTCATCGCGTCCCTTCACAGTTTTCCCACTGCTGACGTCTACATTTGCTTCTGGTTCTTCTCTGCCTCACCTCCACAGCCTGAGCAGCTTTTTGTTCCCCTTCTGCACGGCGTGGAGGAAGATGAAGCCCTTTGGAAAAGTGCTCTGTGCTGCAGGGAGCCTGGCTGTGCTGCTTGCCTTCTTCTGGAGGGACACCTTCCAGCCAGGTATGCTGACCAGGGCTCAGCCCAAGCTGGGACGTATGCAGTGTAACAGAACTGCTTGAATTTCCAAACTGTGATTGCAGTCTCTTCCCACTCGTGGCTGTACTGGAGCTGATTGCCTCTGCCACTGCCTTTCCCTTTTCATTGCAAGCTTTGGGCTCAGGAACTGTTCCTGTGTGGCTGAGCACAGGAGGGGTGACTGAACTCAAACTGATCCTAACTCCAAACTGATCCAAGGAAACACGGACAGAATCCTAGAATGGCCTGGGTTGCAAAGGCCCAAACGCTCATCAGTTCCAACCCCTGCTGTGTGCAGGTCGCCAACCAGCAGCCCAGGCTGCCCAGAGCCACATCCAGCCTGGCCTTGAATGCCTGCAGGGATGGGGCATCCACAGCCTCCTTGGGCAACCTGTGCCAGTGCCTCACCACCCTCTGGATGGAAAACTTCCTCCTCATATCCAACCTAAACCTCCCCTGCCTCAGTTTAAAACCATTCCCCTTGTCCCATCACCATCCACCCTCACAAACAGCCGTTCCCCTCCTGTTTATAAGCTCCCTTCAAGTACTGGAAGGCCACCATGAGGTCTCCATGGAGCCTTCTCTTCTCCAAGCTAAACAAGCTCGGTTCCCTCAACCTTTCCTCGCAGTGCTCCAGCCCTCTGCTCATCTCAGTGCCCTCCTCTGACCTGTTCCGAGAGCTCAGCATCTTTCTTGTGCTGGGGCCACCAGGCCTGGACACAGTACTCACAAGAGCTGAGTAGAGGGGGAATGCTGCAGGCCCAGGGCTCTCTTTGTGCTGCACAGCTTCTGTAGAACAAAAAGCTGCTTTGTGGAAGTGATCTGTGCTGTGCTGTGTCTTCTCCCACAAACAGAGCAGCTTTCTGGTGCCCGCGTCCTGCTGACCGGAGCCAGCACAGGGATTGGGGAGCAGATGGCCTATCACTACGCCACGTTTGGGGCTGAAATTGTTCTGACCGCCAGGAGGGAAGCTGTGCTGCAGGAGGTGAGGGAGGATGGCGGGGCTTTGGGCTTTGGACGCACGTTGTGTTTTCTCCTTCAGAAGCAGCATTGCACAAAACCAGCCGAGGGGCTGCTTTGTGGTTTCTGTAGAACAACAGAAGACAGCAGCAGCGATGTGTGCTGAGCCCCACGTGCTGGCACTGCTCTGTGCCACCCTTCTCTGCAGTGACCCCGGGTGGGTTACTGTGCTGTCACACAGCAGTGCTGCTGCAGTGCGTGTTTCTCCTACCAGAGGGCACTGCCACGGCACAGCGGGGCTCTGTGCTCCAGAGGGAGCTCGGCCGAAGGGGAGAATGGAGCTGCAGTTGTGGAGGTGCTTTTCTGAGTCAGTCCTGTCTGTGGCTGCTACAGACACCCCAATCTTTCTGTGCAATGTCTGACCGTCTTGAAGATGAGACTTCTTTATGGGGCGGTGTGTAGAGAATTATAGGGTGGTTTGGGTCGGAAGGAATCTCTGAGGTCACCCAGCTCCACCTGCCCAGAGGCAGGGACGCCTCCCAGCAGTGCTGGGTGCCCACAGCCCCGTGCTGCCTGCATCTGCATCGAGCAGATCTCTCTCAGACCTCGGGATGAGTGCCCTGCCAGGAGAGTTGTGAAATGAGGCAGGAGAGCTGGAGCAGTGAGCACAGTTCCCATGGGGACGTCGCCTCACCAGAGAGCCAGCTGTGTGCCAGGCAACCTTCACACAGCCCTCAGTGCAAAACAGCTCTGAGAGCTGAGCGCTGCAGGAGGCCACGTGCTTTGGATCAACCACAACCAAAGGCACTGAGTGCAGATGGTTGGAACTCGGGGACCTGTGAGATCTCGCTCTGTGAGTCTGTAACCCGAGTTGTAGAAGCATTCTTCTGAAGATGGCCTTTTTTCGGATGGGTCTCGATCCCTTTCCAAGCTAGATTGAATCTGTGTCTTGTTAAGAGCCCTCCGTTCAGCTGCTGTGGGCAGAAGTGTTGATGTAAAATGAACTGAATAGGGGCAGATTTACATCGAGGGGCGTCTTTGTCCAGAGTTGCTTCTTACTGATGGCAGTGAGCGGGAAGGAGCTCCTTGCAGTGCCCTTATTGCCGTTCCTTCCCCGCACCCCACGCTGTTGAATCACTGGGAGAGCATTGTTTTCCCAGGTGGTGGAGAAATGCCTGAGCCTCGGAGCAAAGAAAGCCTTCTATATCCCAGCTGATATGTCTTCCCCTTCCGAGCCTGACAGGGTGCTTCGGTTCGCCGTCCAAAAGCTGGGTAAGCAGAACAAGAACGGCGCCATCCCCAAATGTCTTCTGCTGGGGGAGGAAAGGGTGTGAGCGTGCGAGGGGCTGCTGCACTGCGTCCTCAGGACGGCCGCCCCACTGACTGCTGTCTCTGCCCACAGGAGGGCTGGATTACCTGGTGCTGAACCACATTGGCATTTCCCCTTTCCAGATGTGGGGTGGAGATGTGGAGCACAGCCGCTGGCTCATGGAGGTGAGGATTCCCAGCAGTTCTCGTGGAGCGCAGCGATTCTGCTTCCCCTGGGACAACCTGGAGGGGCTCAGAGGCAAATTCAGACCTATGGCAGCAGCTGAGAGCAACCGCTGCGTGTGTTTCAAGTCCAGTGCTTTGGAGACTTCCTGACTCGCCTCAGTGTTCTGCTCACCTATGTTGCTGTGTGCAGAGGAATGAATGCCTGGAAGGAGCTGACTTCTCTCCTTCCTTCCATCCTCTTTATCTGTCCTCAGCCAAAGCTGCTGGGCTTGGCCTGCTGTGGGTCCTTGCCCAACGTGTGCTGTGTTTAGGAAGGCCAGCAGGCGAGGAGCAAACATTCCCACCCAGCTACAGCAGGTTCTGTTGCAGAGCACGCTGTGGTGGCTGGCAGTGGTTGCTGTTTGAGCCTCTGCTCGGACACAGGACTTCCCCATGGTGCCGCATTTTGGGACTGTAGAGATGAAGAGCTGTGCTGCTTTGCTCCTAGCTGGGCCAGTGGGTGACTGATGGTGGGAAGCTTGCGTTTGCTGCAGGGCAGGGAGCCTGGGGCAGCAGTAAGGAAGTCCCTGCAATTGGCAGAGCAGGGATGCTTCCTTGGTGGTCTGAGCTCAGCCGGGAGCAAAGTGAGGCACTGCTTTGGTCCTTGTGGCTGAGCAGGGGGTGCAGAGTGAGACCAGCACACAGAAAATTAGGGACAGCGGCCTCGCTTGCCAGGAAATGTTACTGTGGGGCCTTCAGGTACATTTCCTGACTTCTCCATTGCTGTGCCTGGGATCTGAAGGGCTCATGGTGCAACATTTGTCCTCATCCATCCTAGCTGAGATGATTCTTTCCTCCTTGCGTTTCCAATTTCACATCCAAGCCGCGCTCCCTGTCGCTTCTGTTCTCTCGGCTTGCGGGTTCCTTTCCAAGCACTCTTTTTCTCCTTGCATGCCCTCCTCCTTCCAGGTGAATTTCTTTAGTTACGTGGCGCTCGCAACAGCAGCTCTGCCCACCCTGGAGAAGAATCACGGCTCGGTGGTGGTGGTTTCTTCCCTCACAGGTCAGTGCGTGTGGCTGAGCTGCAGCTCCTGCGCACCACGCCGCTTTCAGCACACACTCGAGCTGTAGCAAGCAGGACGGAGGCGGGCCGGGCTTCTTCCCCGCTGGACGTTTCTTCATTCTCTCTTTTTCCCTCCAGGGAAGATTCCCACTCCTTTCACCACTTCGTACTCAGCCACAAAGTTTGCACTGGACGGATTCTTCAGCTCCCTGCGCCACGAGCTGATGATGCAGGAGAGGAACGTCTCCATCACGCTGTGCATCCTGGGCCTCATCGACACGGCCACGGCGCTGGAAAAGACCCGGTGTGTGTTTGTGTGTTTGTGTGTGTGTGTGCGCGTGTGTCTGAGCGCGGCCTGACGCTCTGCTGGTCTCACGCAGGGGCAAAGTCTTCATCACTGCTTCCCCTGCGCCAGAAGCGGCGCTCGCCATCATTCGCGGCGCTGCCGCCCGCCTGCCGGAGCTCTTCTACCCGTGGTGGCTGCGGCACGTGCACGGCCTCTGGGTGCTGCTGCCCAGCCCCCGCGTGCTGCAGAGCTTCTACAACCACAGCGCTTCGAACCACGGCAGCCCCTGACGGCGCGGGGATCCGCGTGCGGTGATCGCCCCCCCATCTTCCTCCAGACCCCGCAGCCGCCCCCCTCGCTCCGCCCCATAGGCTCGGTTGTGTCTCGCGTTCTCCGCCCGGGGCCGGGCCTGCAAGGAGCGAAGCCGGCTGCCCTCAGCCGCTGCCTCGGAGCGCCCCGTGCGGACCGGCGGCACCGCGCCTTGCGGGCACGGCGACGGCGGCGGAAGCGCCCGAGCCGGAAGCTGCCGCTGCGGGATTGAGCCCCGCCGCCTGGGCGGCAGCGGATTGGATGGCACTCGAGGTGTATGCAAATCTCGCTGTGCTTCGCGCTTTCCTATTGGTTCCTGGTCCACATTAGCACCGCCCTAGTGGCGCGAGGCCCGCCCCGCGCCTTTGATTGGTTAGCAGTGGTATGCTGCGCGTCGCTCCTCCTCTCGTGGGCGGAGCCACTCTGCTGCCGGCTGCCCGTTGGCTGAGCAGCTCTGGGGGGCGGGGCTTCGTGGGGCCGTGGCGCGCCGGTGCGCTCCGGGTGCGCTGTGCGCCAGCGGCGGTTCCGCTCCGATTCCGCTGCGGTTCCCCGAAGCGGTGCTGGCGCTGCAGCCGTCGAACGGCCCCGGGCCGCCCCAACCCCAGGCGGCGCACGCAGGGGGCAGCCGGGTTACTTAGGAAGTAAAACTTTTATTAAATAAATTTAAGATTCTTTGTAGATCAGAGCGAGGGCTGACACTGATGGAGCGGCGTCGGGATCGGCGATGGAAGAAATGCGAACGGTCAAACGGCGGCGGGCCGAACCTCGCCGGGTCCCGCTGTGGCTCCCCCCCCCCCCCCCCCCCCCGGTTTGTGTTTGTTGGTCCTTTTTCTTTCTTTTTTTTTTTTTGTTTTTTGTTTTTGTTCAAAATTAGATTAAGTTTAAATCCATGAAATTATTCGTAGCAGAAATAAAGTACATTATACAAATCACGGACGTCGTCGATGTTAAGTATAAAAATGGTATTTACAATAAGTAAACATGGACTATAGAAACACACACAGACCCCCCCGGCCCCCACCCGGCTCCGCCGCCTCTCCCTGCAACGGGGCGAGCAGGGGGGGCCGCAGCCCCAACCCCGTCCTGCCCCCACAGACACAGCGATGCCCTCCGCGCCTCACCACGCTCTGCCGCGTTCGGCTTTTCCTCCTGGTTTCAGCAGGGAGCAGCAGTTTGTGCCGCCTGAGGGATCGGCCCCGTCAGCACAGCCCCCTTCTCCCCCTTCCCCCCCCCCCCCCCCCGTGCAGGGGTTGTGACACAGAGCTCCGCGCTGTGCTTCAGTGCGTGTGGAGGTGTGAACGCAGACACGGACTGTGCGATGTGGGATCTGTCCCTCGGAGGGAGCGGTGGGGAAGAAGGAACCGCGGGGACGGCGGCCCGATGCCATCCGTGTGCAATGGGGAAGTGCCGCAGAGCTGAATTCAACGGGAAAGGTCCGACCTGGGCTGGGAACCAGCGCTGCCTGCACGCAGCTCTGGGTCCTGCAGCGCCCGGCCGTTCCATCAGCGCTCCCTCTCCTCCTCCTCCTCCTCCTCCTCCTGCTTTGCTGTCCTGTTACCACGAGCAGCAATGAGATGCGGGGCGGCAGTGCAGGTCCTGCAGGGAAAGGTTTCCTGTGCTTTCAGCCCAACCGGCACCGAATTGCAGGAGTTTGGTCTGCAGAAGCCCTTAGGAGGGTAAGACAGAGCGATCCTTAACCAGGCTGGTGCTAAGGTTGGTGGGTGAGTGAGCGGAGCGGCTGCTGTGCCCTAATCCTGGAGGTAAGTAGTTCTCCTTCTCCTCGCTTGGTGCTGATGCTGAGCGGGGAGATGGGCCCTCCCTCGCTCTCTGTCCATCCAGCATCCTCTCAAAATGTTCAGGTCTGTTTGCAGTGCCTGCTGAGAAGACAACGGCTGCAGAGGTAAACCCTTCGCTTCCAACCCCTCTGGCAAGGAGTGTCTGAATGGGAAAGTTTGGTCCTGTGAGTCACTTCAAGGAGAGAAAAGAAAAACGAGCTGTGCAATACTGACATGGATCTGTAAAAGGGAGAGGAGATGGAGAAGGGAGGAGGAAAAGACCTTCCTGCAAGGCAGGACTGGCCTTCCCTTTGTAACGGCTCTTTTTGGGACTAGAGGGCGGGATGGGGGGAGGGGAGGAAGGGAAGGGGTGCGAAAGGAGCTGACAAATTCACCGGCCTCTCTGTAAGTCAACCTGAAGCAGAAACTCTTCCTCTGGAGTTTCCCTTCACCTGAACAGAAAGAGAGGAGGGAGGGGAGTGGGGGATCGGGGGACACCTGTGTGAACCTCTGGCTCTGAGCTGATGCTGCTTAAATGTGGAGGAAAATGAGCCTAAATTAGAAGGGACCAAGTGCAGCCCCCCGCTCCCAGCCTGTCTGACAGCAACCAGCTCTGCCAGTGGCTCTCACAGCAGGCTGCTCTCCTGTGGCCCTGCACAGCATCACCTGTGGGTCACAAACACCTCCTGCTGCTGAGGAGGACCAACGGCCCAAGAGATGAGAACAACGCTGTGGATGGAGCTTTAAGGCCTTCAGAGGAAGACGCAAAGTTTGGGGGACGGGGCAGGGGGCCGAAGCCTCGCTCAGAGCACAGGTTGGTATCCCACCCCCCCAGGCACTCCATGACCTTAATGGCCTCTGCCCGCTCACCTGGCTCCTGCTCAGCTCAGCCTCTGCCCTCAGCCCCACACCGGTCGGTCCCCAACTCTGGCTGCAGCCACAGACTTTGTTATCCAGACCCCAACCCTGTCCGTCCCATACAGAATCACAGAATTGTAGGGGTTGGAAGGGACCTCCAGAGATCACCGAGTCCAACCCCCTGCCAAAGCAGGTTCCCTAACCCACCTGGCCATCCAACCCCACTCACCTTCACCAGCCCTGATGCCCAGCCCAGGGAGCAGCCACCCCCCGCTGCCCCCCACACTGACGCAGCAGATGGACTCTACCTGTGCTGCAGAAGTGACTCCTGCTTGCTCGCTGCTGTCAGTAGGGATGGTTGGCATCCTTGGGTCGTTTCAATTGGACCTTCAAACGTTTCATGCCAATCTGGAAGCCATTCATGGCCTGGATGGCAGTTTGTGCACTGGATGGGTTGTCGAAGCTCACAAAACCTGAAGGAGAGGACAAGGGCAGTGGTAACAGCAGCACTGCTGGGGTGTGCTCAGCACACGTGCATCCCAGCCACGTCGTGCTTCTCTGGCCTCTTGGGCAGCAGCACTCACCGAAACACTTGCTCTGGTTGGTGGCACGATCCATGAACACCTTGGAGGAGATGATATTGCCAAAGGGAAGGAACATCTGCATCAACTCATTGTCTCCAAACTCCTGAGGGAGATGGTAGATGAAGAGGTTGCAGCCTTCAGGACCTGCAGGCACGAGGGCAGTGTGGAGGGACAAAGCACAGACAGCCCCAGAGGGAAAGGGGAAGAGAAAAGGGCTCAACTGAGAGCACAGCACTGGAGGAGACCCCAGCACTGCGTCCTCTGGCCTCGACCTCCCCTTGACTCAGTCACTCATCCAAAGGTTCTGAGGGCTCTCCAAGACCCCCTGAAGACAATACAGAGAGCTGGAGGTTCTGGAGAGCAGATTCCCTTTTGCAGCTTGCCCAGCTCCCACCCAGGGCTCTGGCCACAACTCCCTCTGAGTATCCAGGTGTCGTCATGCTGGAATAAAACCAGCCACAGTGACAGCTCACGGCTTCCCACTATTGCTCAGCTCTGCCCTGGACACCTCTGTGTGAAAGCTGCAGCTCTCACCTTCCCTGCCCATAACCACACAGCAGCTGCATTCAACCCACGAGCCGCAGCTGGAAACCTGGGTTGCCACACATCCCAGCCCTGGGCTGAGCTGCTCGCCCCGTGAGCCTCGCAAGCTCCCATCCTCACCTTCACGCTGCTGCTGCTGCAGGACGGGCGGCGGCTGCGGGATGCTCTGCGCGATGGGGGTGATGGAGGTGGTTGGATACACAGCTGCGATCCAAGGAGACAGAACAAACTGCTTACCCAGGGATGTGGAACACAGAACAAACCATTTACCCAGGGATGTGGAACACAGAAAGGCCCAAGGGAGAGAAGGGAAGGCGGTACCTGCGTACTGCTGGACGCCGGTGAAGGCTGGGTGCAGGGTCTCTGCTACCGAAGGGCTCTGGGCTGCAAAAAGAACAGCATCAGAAGCACAGCAAAGGGAACTGCATGCACAGTGGCTCCACTGAGTTTGCAAGGGGGGGTAGGAAAAGCCTCTGCTGCAGGGATCAAGAAGAAGAGAGCTAAGTTCAGCTCTTCAGGCCTCCGGATGGTTTCCTCCTGCGAGCCATACCTGAATACGGTACGAAGCCATTGGTGTAAACTGTTTCCAAGGACGGATGGCCGTTGGGAAAGGGCACCACGCCAGTAAAGCCATTGGAGATGGGTGCCACCAGCCCTGGCATGGCTGTCGTTCCCAGAAGAGGCGGCGAGTGCAGCCCTGCAGTGAGGAGGAGATGCTGTGAGGTTTGGCCCCGCAGAGCCCACAGTGCCCCTTCCGCCAGGTGAGAGTGCTGTGCACAGAGCTCTTATTTCTTCTAGCTGGCGACTGCAGGTGACAGAGCTCAGCGTGGAGCTGTCACACAATGAGGGCTGCTGTCACAGCTCCAGGTGGGGAGACTTTAAACCCAGGCCTGTTAAGCAGCCAGCATGGCGCAGCGCTGCTCCCCATGGGCGCCCGTCCCCATCAGCTGCTGTGGATTGCGACAGGGAACGGCAGCGCTGCCAGGATCAGCCCTGGGGACGCAGTCGCTCCTTCCTGCACCTTCCTGGCCTGAGCTGAGCAGAATCGGTGCCCTCACCTGATGTCTGTGCGATGGGCGCTGCTGGCAGCCCGTTCAGACTGACTGCCCCGATCTGCTGGATGTGGCACGGCGAGAAGGCGACGCTGGGGCTCAGGTAGCTGCCATGCGAGGTGGACAGGACGGTCGTCTGCTGCTGCATCAGCTGCAAGGCAGGGCAGGGCTGCTCAGGGTCTGCACAGCCCCCGGCAGCCAAACCCCCTCCCTTGCCCCCCCCCAAGGTGTTCAGCTCTGCCTCGAGGAAGCCCAACCCGTCTGTCCTTTGCAAGGTGTGTGGGTGCACCGGGGGGTGTCACCCAGCCCTGCTCATGGGGCTCCA